AAATATCCTAACCACGTGTTTGCGGTTCAAAAGTGGGTTTGATTCTGCAAATTTGCAACACATTAAACACCTTTTTTTAAACCCCCTCCCCCAGTTCAAAGGTGTGACCAGAAATGTTAATATTTTCGGTGGATTGCATCACATACAGCCATTAAAAATTTTATTTTTTAACCTCTTAATATATTCTGGAGTGTTTCTTATTACGTACTGTAGTTTTGTATTTTTTTAGTCGGGGGGGTAAATTTGTAGTCACAGCAAAAAGTGATATAGTTACAGTTACATTTATATAGCGCTTTAAATAGTGTGTGTGTGTGAGTGGTGGTGTCTCCTCAACCACCACTGGTGTGTAGCATCCACCATGATAGCCATAGTTTGCCAGAAAGATCACCACACACCAGCTATTAGTGGAGAGGGGAGAGTGATGTTGCCGATTCAAAGATGGGGATTATTAGGAGGCCGTGATAGTGAAGGGTCAGTGAGGGAATCAGGGGTTATTCCTCTGCTCTTTTACCATAAGTGTCCTGGGATTTTTAATGACCACAGAGAGTCAGGGCCTCAAAGACCACAGGGTAAGCACTCCCTGCTGGCCTCACTAATACCACTTAGTTTTCCATCTATGTACTGGCCAGGCTCAACTCTGCTTAGCTTCACTGGGCCACAAGGTGAGAACTGCAGATTGGTTCTGGCATCTAGAGACCTCCTCCGGTCTTGCATACTAAACTAAAATAGTCTAGTATACTATTGGTTGACGATGTGGTAACCTGAATCTTGCTTGCTTAGTGAGGTCCATTTTAATGATGAGCAGGCTGTTGGCTGTTGTGGTATAATTTAACTGGATTAGTTACTGTAATAAACAACGAGAATGTGAAAATGCATATTGAGATACTTCTACAATGTTAATCTAAGCTAGTTGCCTGGCTAGCGATGTGTCTCTATTACTGGAGAAAGTGACACTTAATGTCAACTTTCCCATAGGTCAATGTTTTCGTTTCATCTAAATGCATTTGTGTAAATTATTTCGCAAGAGCAAGTCATTCGACCGGAGACTAGCTACAGACAGAGCTAGAGAGGTCAGATAAGGAGGTGTTTGGCTGATGCTTTTATCCAATGCAGGATATAATCATTCCATGGCAGTGCTGGGATTTGAACTCACAAGTTTACAATTAGTATCCTGACCAATCACTTCGCCATTTTTTTTTACTACTTTTACCATTGACCAACCACTTCCCCCATTTTCATTTACCCTTTCTTTCATACTAGTGATGACGGAACAGAGGTTTCGCCCGGAGACAAAAAAAAAAAAGCCATGGGTGTGAGTGTTTTGAATTAAACAAAATATAGCCACGTTGAATTGTTTTATTAATAGGCATTACTTTAATTTATTAATTGTTCATTAATTGTTTATAGGCATGCAGTTGTCATGGTTTATAGCCACTGAATAGTTATTAATAGTTTATATTCATGAGCTCATCACTAATGGATTATACACATGAATTATACACCTTTGTAACCCCTGGCATAAGTAATAGCAGAGAATAAGCAGGGTTTGTTATTTATATATTCATATTTATCAACACTTAAATGAACACAGCTAGAAGAACAGGGCTGCTGAGTGATAGTGGTGTTTCATATTTATGACAATGTGTGTTACATTTATTTGTTTCATTTCACATAATGACACAGCATAGCCCATATCATTGAGAATCATTTAGAATAAAATTAAAAGAGATAACAAGACAAAAATCACCTGAAAGGAAATGTGGAAGGCAAAGTCAAACCTCAAACATGAAAGGCAAACTCCAGACAGTCATATGAAACCAACCTCTAACATCTGCTTTTTTGTGACGTGTGCAAAAGTGCGTAAATGGGTCACTACAGGTTCCCGGAACTGGTATTTTCTGAACTTGTTATGAATATAGTCTGACTCGTGTAAAAAAAAAAATTCCTCCAAGTTGCTAAGAAGGCCATTTCAGTCAAAGTTCAACTATGGCATCAAAAGTGTGCTTTGGGTAATTTCTCAGTGTAACATTAGATCTGAAAGGCAACGTTATCAACACAACCCATACACTATACAGACAAAAGTGTGTGTAAATACCCATATGTATTTGTTGAACATCCCTTTCCAAAAATATGGAATTGGTCCTGGTTTTGCTGTTATAACATTCTCAAATCTTCTGGGAAGGTTTTCTGCTAGATTTTGAAGAGTGGTTGTGGGGATTTGCCCATTCAGCCACAAGAGAATTAGTGATGTCAGACACTGACATCAGACAAGACGGCCTGGCGCATAGTCAGTGTTCCAGTTCACCCCAAATGTGTTCAATGGCGTTGAGTTCAGGGCTCTGTACAGGCCACTCGCTTTTACACCAACCTTGGCATGCCATGTCTTCATGGACCTTGTTTGGTGCACAGGGGTTTTGGTCATTTGGTTGAACATGTTTGGGCCCTTTAAATCCAGTGAAGGCAAATCGTAATTCTGCAGCATACAAAGACATTCTTGACAAATGTGTGCTTCCAACAGTTTGGGGAAAAACCAGATATGTGTGTAATGGCCAGGTGTCCACAAGCTTTTTTGTCATATATGTACACTCAATGGATTTATTAGGAACACAATACACAGTTGCTGTAAAAAAAAAAAAAAAAAAAAAAAACAACGACAAAAAAAGGCTCTATCCATATTTTTTTATAACACAGAGGTTAAAAATGAGCTTTACCAGAAATTATACAGATCTTATCTTTGATCTTATGATAAATCTCATAATGTAAATGCTCTTTTATAACTTGCATTTATTTCCTAAAAAATAATTCTTTTGCTGTTGAATTACACCCAGTATTCGTTTTAGTGTTGTCTAGAGTGATATGATCATATTGCTCACAATATGGCATCCTTGTTACCTTTTTATTTATTTCACTTTTAAAGAAGTATTTAAAACATATTTTAAATCAGGACCTTCAGCATGTAAAGCAGATGTGATGACTGCTACACTGCCAGCTAATAAATTAATTAAATGGAACCAGCTAATAGATGAATGACAGTAAATCTTGAAACTGCTGTAAATTAAAGTAGGTAATGGGAATTTGTATTTTCAGCTTATTGATCTTGAACTGTAAATACTGTACCAACCATACTTTCTTTACTCACCCATACTGGTGACAAAAACAAGACCAGCTTTTGTTGTGTTTCGCAAAAGCATGGTTCCACTGGGGATTGAACCCAGGACCTTCTGCGTGTAAAGCAGACATGATAACCACTAGACCATGGAACCTGTTGATTAACAGGGCATACATATTGTAGGCAGTTCATGAGGGTTTTTCTTTTTTACTTGTTTATTTTATTTTTTTTTAACTCATCCATACTGGCAATAAAAAGACAACCTTATTTTTTTTTTTTTTTTTATATATATATCACACTTAGGGTACTGATTTTAGTGGAGTTTGAACACAAGACCTTCTGCATGCAGAACACATGATGACCACTACATTATGGAACAAGCTACAGCAGTACTTTTTTTTTTTTTACAGAGTGGTTTTACAGAACATGGTTCCACTGGGGCTTGAACCCAAAACCGTCTGCATGTAAAGGTGACATAATGACTACAGCATACTTTATTAGGAACACTATATTAACATTGACTTTCTATTCTTGGCTGACAGAAGTGGAACTAGATGTGGTCTTCTGTTGTTGCAGCCCATCTGCCTCATTTCACTTGTTGTGGATTTTGAGATGCTTTTCTGCTCACCACAATTGTACAGAGGGGTTATCTGAGTTACTGTAGCCTTTCTGTCAGCTCTTACCAGTCTGGTCATTCTCAGTTGATCTCTCTCATCAACATGGCGTTTCCGTCCGAAGAACTGATGCTCACTGGGTGTTTTTTCTTTATTGCACCATTCTGAGTAAACTCTAGACACTGTTGTGCTGGAAAATCCCAGGAGATCAGAAGTTATAGAAATACTCAAACCAGCCCAACAATCATGCAACGGTCAAAATCACTGAGATCACCCCAATATTCTGATGGTTGTTGTGAACATTACCTTAAGATTGACTTTTTTCTTTCCTTTTTATGAGGTTGAACAGTGGCTTTCAAAAAAGATCTCTATCTATATTTTTTAATATTACAGACTTTAAAGCTCGCTTCACCAGATATTATACAGATCTGTGTCATTGTAAATATATTTGAACAAATAAATCTGAGAATGTAGATATTATTTTAGAACTTGCATTTATTTCCTACAAATAATATTATTTTGCTATTGAATTACACCAAGTATTCATTTTAGTGTTGTCTAGAGTGGCATGATCATATTGCTCATAACTGCATACAATATCGCTCTACACGTTCAACCATGTAGTATGATACTGTTAATTAATGACAGTAAAGCTTGAAATTGTGAGAAGTTGATGTAGATAAGTGAAGATAAAACTGTAACTACTGTGCCTACTTTCTTTAATAACCCAGCTTTTTTTAGCATACTTTCTTTAATAACCCAGCTACTATATTGGTGACAATAGCAAGACCAGCATTTGTTGTTTTCCCGCAAAGGCATGGTTCCACTGGGGATTGAACCCAGGACCTTCTGCGTGTAAAGCAGATGTGATAACCACTACACCATGGAACCTGCCATTTAATGGGGCATACATATTGTAGGATACTGTTACTAAATGAGGAAAAATCTTGAAAAGGGTTAGGTAGTTCATGAGGTTTTTTTTAACTCATCCATTCTGAAAAGAATAAATAAATACACAACCTTACGTGGTAATGTCACAAGAGTGTAGTTCCACTGGGGCTAGAACCCAGGACCTTCTGCGTGTAAAGCAGACGTGATAACCACTACACCATGGAACCTGTTATCTAACAGTGCATACATGTTGTAGGATACTGTGAATTAATGAGGAAAATTCTTGAAAAGGGTTATGTAGTTCATGAGGTTTTCCTACTCACCCATACTGAAAAATTAAGTAAACACACAACCTTACTCATTTCATGGTGCACGTCACAAGATCGTGGTTCCACTGGGGTTTGAACCCAGAACATCCTGCATGTAAAGCAGACATGATGACCACTACACTACGTAACCAACCACAATATAAATATTTTTATGTTTCTGTCCAGGGTATTTGGGGTCCTGCTGGTTGAGATTTAACCCACTTCTGAAAAGCCTGTAGCTCCAGTATGCTTAGACAGATCTCCACTGTGGCTGCCGTCATCAGTCCTTGCATGTGCAAAAAAGTTAGATGTGTCTTGAATGGCCTGCTTGGGAGCCAGTCAAATTGCAGAAAAATATGAGTCATTTATGCTTGTGCAATATGGAAAATGCTTGCAAATTGGTTACTTATCATGTACCAGTTTGTTAAAACAGCAAGGTAAATGTAAACCATTTAAAATTCCAGGAAGACATTTGTCCCATGCAATAATTTTTTTGCCATTAAAACATTTAAGTATAGTTTTGCATTTACCAAACTTGCTGGGAATTAGAGGTACGGATGACATGGATGAAAGCATCAAATTGTGGCTCCAGCACTGAGCTAGCAGTTGCTGGATTTTAGGCATCTTTGTTTTGATGTGAATCTGCTTTGATATTAAATAGAAGATCTAGTTACTATAGAAAAAAAAAATATTTCCTCCATCTTGTGGATCTTGCTTATCAATTTAATATCATAAAGCTGTACAGACCGTAACAGTACTCCTGCAAATTTGGAATGTCAGGCTATTGCTATGTCATTATGAAAATCTAAACATTGAACATACTGAACATTTAATTGTTCTGTAAAGGAGTAGACCAGTAGTCCAGGTTAGTTTCCTACAGAATGACGATATCTCTGTTGTCCTCAATGCAAAGGGGAGGGGGGTTGCTTATATGGAACAATAAGCAAGCAAGCACACAACACTCTTTAAGTACCATGAAAGACTGCATAAATTTAAAGGTAATTCTGGATGTATGTGCGGCAGTGGCTGTTTGTCTGCACCTCGTTCTTATTGCAGTCAAAGGGCACAGCATTGTGTTGCTTCTGAGTCATTACAGTAAACAACCATGTATGAGCATGCGTATGTGTCTGTGTGTGTGTGTGTGTGTGTGTGTGTGTGTGTGTGTGTGTTGGGGGTTGGGGGGCTGTTTTTATATCTTTGACTAAATGTACGCACAAGAATATGGATATCTGACAGTTTTTACCTTTTTGGGGACATTTGGCTGGAACCCATGAAATGACAGCTTTCATTAAAACTAGCAAACAAACACACACAAAAAAAATAGCCAAAATGTTAGACTTAGGAACTTATATCTGTCCTCACAAGGATAGTAAGACAAATTCATGTGCGAGTGTCTGTTTTTATGTCTTTGACTAAATGTACCCACAAGAATATGAATATGTGATGATGGTGACCTTTTGGGGACATTTGGCTGGTCCCCATGTAATGGCTGCTTTTATTTAAACAAACAAACACAAACTAGACAAATTGTTAGGCTTATATCTGTCCTCACACGAATAGTAAGACAAGTGTGTGTGTGTGTGTGTGTGTGTGTGTGTGTGTGAGAGTGAGACATCTGTGTGAGGCGTTGTACATAGGTTTACTTTACTCTCATGTTGGAAATGTATCTTCTTCTCTCCCTCTGAAAAAAACAGGCAACAATAATAACCATGGTATGGGTAATCCTCATCATTTCCATCACCATGGTAACTAAGAAACCCCATCTCTCTCTCTCTCTCTCTCTCTCTCTCTCTCTCTCTCTCTCTCTCTCTCTCTCTCTCTCTCTCTCTCATTTTGCAGTCCTAAAGCCTTTCAGCACATTTAAAGGGAAGAATGAGCTTGTTGGTTTGTTTCCCACCACAGTGCTGGATACTGGACTATTAAACTATCCATGCATTACTACTATTATTATAATGCGTCAATTGTGAATGCTTGTCCTGTTCTGTTCTGAGTCTCCAGCATGCATTTAGGAACAGCAGCAAAGTATTCCTTGATGTGTGCGTTAAACAACTGGCGTGCGCGGACATTAAACTGACTTTGTGGACCCCAAAAGTTGTGACAGGAGATGATGAAATGAAAGCGCGCGCGCTCGTGCTCGCGCTCACCTCTGCTGACCTCTACAGGTCGAATTCATATTCATTTCCTCGTTTTTCTTTCGCTTTTACATCCTGTGTGGTGGTGGTTGTTTGGGGTTTTTTTGTTGTTGTTGTTGTTATTTGTTTGGGGGTTATTTGTTCTGTCCAAATTGTAATTGTTCCTGTACGTGGCTGTAATTAATTATGTTAAAGTACCCATCACCAACATCCTCCTCCTCCTCCTCCTCTTCCTCCTCCCTTCCCTTTAAACCTGTTCACTAGTGCGCATCTTGTGGAGATCCTGTATCGGTTCCGTTTTGATTAGACCTACTTGAGAGAATCGGACGGTGGTTCTGGCGATGTGGGTGATTTCTGCCTGAGATCTGAGCCAGCTTTCTGCACTTCGCTTGTTGCCGATCATTGTGAGGAATGAAGAGGCGAGACAAGCTGAAAATCCCCTCCCTCACTTTGGAGTAAGTTGGATTTTAAAAATTTTTTTTTTTTTTTAATTCCTCCATCACTGATGAATAATTTAGGAGTAGTTGCCGGAAGACGAGGGGAAATCCCTCACTACTGGTGAGTAGACAGTAACAAGAGGGGGGGAAAAGAGCTGCGACGTGGGAGCACCCACTCAGATCTGATTTATTTTTTATTTTTGCATGCGCTTATATTGTTGCTATGTTTGTTATTTGCACTCAAAATGAAATGAAATACCTTTATATTGCCTAATAGCTGAATTCAGGGGTGCTTCAAATAAAACAGTTGAAGTGAAACGTTATAAAACACTACCATAGACTATAGAGCAGTGGTCACCAAACCTGTTCCCAGAGATCTAAATTTCCTGAAGACTTCAATCATAATCATGTCCAACTGACCATCTAATCCAGTGGTCACCAAACCTGTTCTCAGAGATCTAAATTTCCTGAAGACTTCAATCATAAACGTGCCCAACTGACCATCTAATCAGGTGGTCATCAAGCCTGTTCCCAGAAATCTACCTTCCTGAAGACTTCAATCATAATCATGAACACCTGACCATCTTATCCAGTGATCACCAAACCTGTGCCCATTGATCTACCTTCCTGAAGATTTTAGGTCCAACCGTAATCGTGCCGACTTGACTATCTAATACAGTGGTCACCAACCCTGTTCCCACAAATCTACCTTCTGAAGATTTTAGCTCCAACAGTAATCGTGCCCACCTGACTATCTAATCCAGTGGTCATCAACCATGTTCCTGTTGAGCTACCTTCCTGAAGATTTTAATTCCAACTATAATCATGCCCACCTGACCATCTAATACAGTGGTCATCAACCCTGTTCCTGTTGATCTACCTTCCTCAAGATTTTAGCTCCAACTATAATCATGCCCACCTGACCATCTAATCCAGTGGTCACAAACCCTGTTCCTGTTGATCTCCCTTCCTGAAGATTTTAATTCCAACTATAATCATGCCCACCTGACCATATAATACAGTGGTCACAAACCCTGTTCCCAAAGATCTACCTTCCTGAAGATTTTAGCTCCAACCAAAATCATGCCCACCTGACCATCTAATCCAGTGATCACAAACCCCGTTCCCACAAATCTACCTTCTGAAGATTTTAGCTCCAACAGTAATCGTGCCCACCTGACTATCTAATCCAGTGGTCATCAACCCTGTTCCTGTTGATCTACCTTCCTGAAGATTTTAGCTCCAATTATAATCATGCCCACCTGACCAGCTAATCCAGTGGTCACAAACCCTGTTCCCGAATATCTACCTTCCTGAATATTTCAACTATAAACGTCCCTACCAGGCCATCTAATCCAGTGGTCACCAACCCTGTTCCCGAATATCTACCTTCCTGAATATTTCAACTATAAACGTCCCTACCAGGCCATCTAATCCAGTGGTCACCAACCCTGTTCCTATTGATCTAGCCTCCTGAAGATATTACCTCCAATCATAATCATGCCCACCTAACCATCTAATCCAGTGGCCACCAACCCTGTTCCTGTTGATCTCCCTTCCTGAAGATTTTAATTCCAACTATAATCATGCCCACCTGACCATATAATACAGTGGTCACAAACCCTGTTCCCAAAGATCTACCTTCCTGAAGACTTTAGCACCAACTACAACCATGCTCACCTGACCATCTAATCCAGTGGTCATCAACCCTGTTCCCAAAGATCTACCTTCCTGAAGACTTCAACCATAATTGTGTCTACCTGACCATCTAATCATTGGCTTAAGAAGTTCTTGATCAACGAAAACAGGTGTGTTAAATTTTGGTTGGAGATGAAAACTACATTAAGGTACATCTCAAGGAAGAGGGTTGGTCCCCACTGGGGCTATAGAGCAATCCTGTTGGTTTAATGATTTATTTATAACAGCTCAGAGATGCTGAGCTTCTTGGCATTTCCTCAGCCTTATCTTGCACCTCATTTATTTGATTTGTGACAGACACAGCACTGAGACTGATCTGTCGTTGTTCACTCTGTTCTGTAGCAGCATGCACATATCTTCAAATAAGCATGCAAATATCGCTTATATCTGCAGCTTGGAGTCAGTCATTAAGAGATTATATATATATATATATATATATATATATATATATATATATATATATATATATATATATATATATAAATTTCCCCTTTTTGGTATTGGTGATTTAAAACACATCCAAATCCAATGGTCTCGTTGAACAAATATTGGGATCACGCCACTGAAATATGAAATTCAAGGTATTCCTTATATATTTTTATGTTATGATCTCTCACACCGTGTCTAACCGGAATTTGCATTCTTATTCACAGCCTAGATCCTATTATCAGTTAGATAACAAAGCTTACGTACTCAGGAGTACAACCGAGATACACCCTACATCCTACACACAATGTGTAACCTTCTGCTTCAGTGCCTTAATGAGCACAAAGTAGAGCCCCGAGTCATGGCTCGGGGTTATTATAGGGGACGTGTCGAGCTGTTAAATAACTAACAGAAACTAGTTCCTTATGCAGCTTGCACGACTGTTTGAATGTGCTATA